TCATTTTCATTTATTTAGTTGCAAATTAAATTTATTGCAATCCCTACCCAAATCGAGAATTATTGAGATGATGAATCATACAAAGAATTTAAGGGTGAAAAATTTGAGAGGAGAAAACCAATAAATTTTCTAAAATGCTTGGTCAAATGATACTTTTAGATTGTAACAATTTAAATAATTAGTTTATGGAATTATTCAATTAGTTATTAGTGTGCGTGTTGTTTTTTTGTTCTAATTAGTGTATAGTAGTGTCTTTGTTTGAGTTGTGACGTGTAAAGCTTTCAAGGTTTAATTTTTAAGAAGTTTTTACGTGGTTTTACTGAAACTCTACGACAAAATTATGGCTTTAAAGAATGGAATGCAAATCAAAATTTTGACTTTTATTTGAGAATTTAATTTTTAAAATGGCTCAAAAATTAATATTTTCGAGTAACAAAAAATAAATTAAATTAAAACCCGGCAAATTAGGGTAAACAGAGCAACATAACTGGCCTGGATCGCGATTTCGCCTAATTACAGGGCTCATCAGCAGACCTGAATGTTTTAACTGCACCTCCGCACTCACAAACCAAGACTGCAAAAAAAAAATAGTTTCCAATCAAGAAAAACAAATTGATCATGGTCATAATACATTTCTTTGTTTGGTTTATTTCATTAATTAATTTTAATATCTATTTAATACACGAAATTGTATTTTTCAATCAACATATTTTTTTAAACATCAACCTTTGTTGAAGGAAAATTTACATAATTAACTAAAACATTTTAAAAGTAAAAAGAGGAAGTATATACAAAACTTAAAAAACTCGAATGCACAAAAACTCTGATTAATTTTAACTAATAAATCATAAAAATAAACTGCTGCTCGCCATTTTGCAAAATTTCAATGAAACCCTGCCGCACATGAAAACCATAAAAGAGAGAATTAATTTCAATTAATTTGGGTGCCAGAGTTTACGGTCCCAGTGTGCTGCATTGGGCGTTTCGATATTGTCCCCGCATATCCAACAAAATATGCGTGTTTGTTTCCATATATACGGAGCAGAGAGCGAGATGTGTAATAATTTCGGGCGGTATAATTGAATGGCCTCGGAGTAATTCGCAAATGAATTTGCGACGAGCCGCGATTAAATCATTGCGCGGGATTAATTAATTCGGTGCGCTCGCTCGCTTAATACCCAGCAAGTGCCGGTACTAGATTTGCCGGCGCCGATCCAATAAATACCGAATTACCCCTAGTGCCGCCGCCGCCGCCGCCAAGCCAAATCGAATTAAACTCCCGCCGAGACCTTCCGCTCTCGGCACACCATCATCATCAACTCTCGCTCGGATACATATCTATTTTCCAACTCGTGATGTTTGGTGTTTCCTCAAGCTGCGCACGATGATGGCGAATTAATTCGGGAGCACAGCGCGCCCGGTGCGCGAAAATGAATTCAAATTAAAATCGACCTGCTGCCGAGACCTGCGTTTATTTCATGTCAGGACCAACTTTATTTTATAGGCTCAGGCAGCAAAATTCTGGAAATATAAATTTTTGGCAGTTAATTGTCAAAAAATGAATAATTATTTTTATATCAAACACATACTTTTTTACAAAAAAAAATTTACGGCAGATCACTATATTGTCAAATTAAGCTCAAGTCAACTCTTGAATCTCATGATTTAACTAATTATGAAATCCTAATTTGGTGGGAATAGATAAAACTAGGAAAAAATTTTGTTTGCTTGTAAAAAAGATAGAATTCTAAAATAAATAATCCACAATAAAAAAAATCAAATTTTACTATATTTTACTATAATATCTTATGTTAGGCTCGTGTGTTTTAGACAGTCCTAATTTTTCTAAAAATTATCAATGCCGAATTCTGCTGGGTGTTTAAGGAAGGAGCGGCTGCGAAACAAAATAATTTCTCTCTCCTGCTATAGAATGATTAAGTCATTTTCCGGCCGATCACGGGCTGAAGAAAGATACGTTTTTTCACATAAAAATCCAGCCTCTCGAGTGCAGCCTCCGGCCGCGAATTAATTTTTCTTTTCGTGGCGCGGCGTAATCTGATCGCGTCGGTAATCGGGCGTTGCTGCTGCCGCGCTGCCTGATTAATAATTCAATAAGACCGAATAACTCTTGAATTTCTCTCAAGTTTATGTAAAAAAATATAAAAAAAGGTGTCTCGCGTTATATTTGATCCCATAAACATAACTCCATTAGGGGAGATGCTGAAATTTATTCCGGCAGAACTTTGTGCAGCCGCGTTTTTCACCTTTCTCGTCGCGAGATAATCGGCCGCATAATTATGAGCGCGGCCGGCTTGTTTGGAAATTAAATTAGAATAACAACATTAAGCGGAGAGATGCCCTTGAGCCGTGGCATTAAAAGTCCCTTTTAACAAGAATATAATGACGTGAGACTCTCGATTAAACGCCACGCCGCGCGCTTATCCCTAAAAAACTTAACATATTTTCGACTTGCTGCGCCAAAAGTTTCCGAGCAAAATGAGATTTAAAAGTTTCGATGACGGATCGGTGCAACGTGAGCGGAAAACTAGATTGATTTTCTTTTCGTTTTCTTTTAGTCTCTTAACCGTCAAAAAGTATGACGTGCGCGTGCTGGGATATGCGTTTCTCAAATATTTGGAGGGAAAACAAGATGTGAAAAGGTTTACATAATTTAAAAACTTTCACAAAAATATTTTTCTGAATTGTATCTTAAAATTGTGAGAACATAATTATGAAATCAGAATCTTAAAAATGTGCAAAGAAACGCAAGCAAAATCAAAATTTTATAAAAAAAAAAATATTAATTTCCTGAGGTCTCTTAAAGTCCGCACCCACATCTTAAAAATATACCATGTGCTCTTTAAATTTTGTGAATTTTTTGAAATAATTCGTGTTTTTTGATACTTCACATTGCTTATCGGTTTTTAGAAAATTAACCAAAAATTAACAAATAATATTAGCTTATCACTTTATAGAAACTATCAGATGGGGTGTATTTATTTATTATTATTTATAAGATTATTTTAGCGTCAATACAACTAACTGAAATGGAATTGCTAAAAATGCTGGATAAAGATATGCGTGCAACCGAGAACAAAAGAAAAAAAATAACAAATGTATTTTTGAATAACTGACAGATCGGGAATTTCATTACGAAAAGAAAATATAAAAAATATGGAAAAATTTCCTCTCTCGTGTGTATTTTTTCTATTTTTCTCTTTTTTATTCTCTGGTTTGTGTATATCATCATTTGCGTAAAGCTGAGGGAAATTCGATCGCGCGCGCGGCTCCCGCACGTCAAATCAAATCATCAAACAGCCCTTTTTTATTACTTCTTCTTTTGGTTCTCCCCGCGCGCGTTTACATTTTTTCCGCCCCGCACACGCAGATAAGGAGACGAGAGGATTTTCTATTAAAATTCCGAATCAGCTCATTTTTTATGCATTCCGCCGCCACCGCACGAAAATTTTATCTCCCTCATGTTTTTGTACAAAAAAATTCACGTCACACGTAGCTTGTTTCGAATCTATTGGACGATGGAGTAAAAAATCATTATTGAAGCAAATCGCATTTTTCATTTGGACGTTCGTGTTATTCAATCGTTATCCGGCGGGCCCAGGTGAGTTGTTTAATCAATGATCAATCCGGAGGTTTTTTGATGCGAGAGAGTTATATTGAACGTGGGCGCTTCGTATTCGCTCACTCGCTTTGAATTGGAAAATTAATATTCAGCGCGGGGAATAACCAACCAAATTGTGAAATCGTCGCGTTATACATCGCGGTTATTATTTGATTACGAAAAAGCTTCAAAATCAATAAACTAAAATTAAATTGAAATTTGTATTGCCCCACAAATACGAATTTTCAACAAACTCAACAAAAGAATCGCGTGTGATGAAAAGTCATTCATCCTGGAGCAATCCTGAAACAAAAAGTTATATTAAAAGAAGCATTCGAAAACGAATACTGTCAAATACATAATATTTTCTTCCATACTGTAGTACCTGTTTTCATAAGGAGGGAGCTTCAGTTACACAAGCAAAGATATGAAACAAAAGCGTCCTTTGTGTAGCCTTCTTTACTCAATCTCTCTCAAACAGCTCATCCCTCCCCAACATAATTCAACTTTTGTGGAGATTATACCATGTGCAATAAAATTTTTGCAAAATCTTGAAAATGAAACGGGTGTTAATAATAAAACTTAATTATTTTGGAAGTAGAACCTCTCTTGATTTGTTTATGAAAAATAGATGATATTCGATGAAAGATGGAATCATAAATTAAACAATTATATACACATCTATTTTTTGTAAACAAATTAGAAGCCTTTCTCAACAAATAAAAGATCTTTTTGTGAATTTAAAAAAAAAAATATTGATGTTGCAATAAGATATTAGTTCAATTGCCCCGAATTAAATTTGCTCCATATAAGTTTCGGAAACGAAAAAAGATTGACAAGAAAATTGATCTAATAAAATGACTAACAAAACGACGATAAACAATTATGGATTAATAATTGAAACGATATGAGTTTTGATTTCATTAAAAGGAGAGGCAAATCGATTTGGAGAGAAACTTGATGGGAAAAGTTTTTATCTCTCTCGCAAGAGAGTATAGCGACTGGTCTAATATAATTTCAACCAGCAGCGAGCGGAGTCGTTCTCATTATTTTACTTTTCTATTACATCAACCCATATGGGCGAAGGCATTTCTCGGTGCGGCGGCGGCGGCGGTCGTCGTCGTGTCTTTTTATTGCAGATTCAGAGAGCGAGAGCCACAAACTCACTCACTTGGCCGCGCTCCCCCGGGAGCTCATCAAAAAGAAGCGAAACAAGGGAGAGAAAAATAAAAATCCGGCGCCGACGTCGACGCCGCGCGCTAAAAAGCACAGCTTCCACTCGGAGGCGGCCCCGCCGCCAACCAATCGGGGCCGGGGGGCGTGGCCGGCGCCATGGCGGCGGCGGGGAGGCCGCTCGGCTGCCGCGCCAGTTGAGCCCGAGATGCGACGCCGCGCGCGCGGCGCCGACGCTGCCTCCGAGTGATCCATATGGTGCTCGACGCGCCGGCGCCGCCGCAAGTCGGCGCCCCGTCGGCGCCCCCGACGCGATGGGCCCCCCACACGGCGGCGCCGCACCACTTTTCGCGCCCAGTGGCGCTTTTTCCCGCCACGTTCGGCGCCTTCGGACCTTTCGGCGCCAAACGCTTTCCGTTTTCGATGCCGCTGCTGCAGCACGGCGCCGCCGTCGCCGCGGCCTCACTGGCCGCCGCTGCGGCGGCTGCGGCCGCCCACGACGCCCGCCGCCTCCAACACGTGCAGCAGCAACAGCACCACCGCCCCCACGTGCCCCACAGGCCCCCGATCGACCCCATCAGGCACCAGCCGCACCTTGAACCTCAAAAAAGTCAACACGGTTCGTTCAATTTTTGAACATTTGTTGTTAAAAAAGAGCTATTTTTCAAAATCACGTCGAATGAATTTAACAAGGAATAATTTTCACAATGTTATAAAGTGATTTTTAAAATAAATTACACTTAAAATATACATAATATTTATGCTTATTTGAGACTCAAATGCAACATATATATTTTAATCTCATTAGAATGATGAACTGCTGATTGAAGAAATTTCTCTACAATGCAATTTTACTTAAAAAATATTAGCTATATTTTTCCACCAAGAAGTAGTTTAAGTCTATGAAATAATTTAATGAAATGTTTGGGAAGTTACGCAAAACATGTACATGTACATTACATTTTCATTAAGTATCGTAATAATTAAATATTCTGTGGACTGTGATTTTTATAATATTTTTAAAATTTGACACAAACTTTTCTTTTCTATTGATAATATTGTAAAATCAATCAAAAATTTAATTACATACATACAAAAATATTATTTTTAGAAGCTTAATTAATATTATAAAAATTAAATCAATTATAAAATTTGTCCTTGAATTTTTTAAATATTCTGCACATAAATAGTTAATTTTCTTATATTATTAGTTATTTACATTGTAAAATTATCTGTGCGAATATTTTTATCTCTCCCTTCTCGGCAGTCATCGGCTCTCCTGCGCACCGTTCGGTTCATTCTAGTCCCTGCTCTCGCCGGCCTAATAAATTGGCATGCAAGCGTTATAAAAATGGCCTCGTTGTTCATACAATTTGTCGAGACGAATCAGATCTAATGGGCGCCAAGTGGCAAATCAGCATAAAGAAAAAAACAAGGGCTCAGCAGGAGACTGTGGCGTCCCGCGGCGCTTCTTCTCTATACAAGTTCCTTTTAATTTTTTATCCAGAGCTGATTTGCATTCCTCGCCGCGCTCATTACCCTTGGCGATTCTTTTCGCAGTAGCACGCTGGAGAATAAAGAATGATTATTAAAACAAAAATGGTTTGACTTTGATGGGAGGTTTCCGCGTCTTCTAATTGAGAAGCGCCATTTTTAATTAATCTCAAAGGCTGCAAATGAAATTATTATTGCAGTGTAATTGCGGTGCGCGAAATAATTATGAGAAAGAGAATATATAAAAATAAGCCATTATTGGTGCACACACTAATGGTGAAATGAATTTAATTGCAGCCCACACAAGATGAATTAAAAGAGGAAGTTGTAAAAAGTAACGGTTTGATAATAATATTTATTTTTTCATTTCATAAATACACTTCATTTTTATTGTGAAAGCGCGGGTGGTGACAACTTTCAAAACGTTTGTCACTGGGAGAGCGGATCGAGTTTATATATAAATGTGAGTTTAACGCCGATTAGCCTCTCTCACGTGCATGTGTTGCGAGGGAGGAATAAATTGAGTCGTTAAGCAGAGCACCGGCTGATAAGGTGTTTTATTATTGGATACGTCGCCGGTGCGTGAAATAATTTCCTATTATATTAAGGTTTCGTACCGTGTTATCTCTGCACCATTACTCATAATAAATGTATTATTTTATCCTGTTGGCTCCACCGCGGCTTATTTTGTCTTCAATTAATTCGAAATTCCTTCTCGCGCGAGATTTATTGGTGCACTTAGCGAAATCTCTATAGCTCTCGTCTTTGCACTCATTGTCGGTCATTACGCCACACTTGGCAGCAATAATGGAAAAAATTAATTGCTCTCTGTTTTAATGCGTTTTCCGTTGAAGGCATTATTATTTTACTCGCAGGTATAACAACAGTCCTCGATCAAGAGCCCGTTTCGTTAATTGTTTTAATTTTTACCACATTTTTTCTTCATTGCTTTCTTCTGCAAATAATTAAAACAAAGAAATATATCAACGTGATTGTTTTTATAAATAATAACAAACACAAATCATAATGAATAATTTTAATTTTAAAAGCACGATTTAAATTTTAATCAAGTTGATGATTGTTTCTTAACAAAATTTAATTCTAAAAGAAAGTCTTCAAATATAGTTATAGGAAGAGTATTTATTGACATTTCACAGAGGCAATCTTTGCCAATAATTAAGTTTTAAATGTGATTAAATTGATTTTTTTTCTGAAAAACCTAATTGTGTTGAATGAATTTTTTTAATGATTCAATAATAAAAATGCTTCTTATTGTTAACTTGATTTTATTTTGTGTGAAGACTCTTGATGAGCTTTGATGCGTTTTAAATTACAAAAAGTAATTACGCAATTTGAACAAATTTGTTGAAACATTTCTACAATAAAAAAGCGATTTCTTTTAATTTCCAATTGTTTTCGGCGGTGCCTCTTCCTGCCAAAATGGAAATCCAAGCAACTGACGAGAAAATCCATTTTTGCTCTTAATTAAATATAGAAATTCATTCCAGAGAGCGGCCTCATTAACGAGAGCAGTGCAGCATAATTTTTTTTAGTTTTTAATCACGAGCGACGAGGTGCAAATAAGGTTTATGAAAAGGCAAGTCACGGTGGCTGCCTTTCGACAAATAAAAAAATAAAAATAAAAAACTCGTTGGAGAGTGGGCGGCGTTTTAATTTCCAAACAGGCGCGAATTGGAAGAAATTCAAATTAGACGGACGAATAAAAAACACACCTCCTTATTAACTATTAGAGAGCTAATTTCCGACGCTCTCGTTTTAATTTCCTGTCTTCTCTGCACTCGGCAGCCGAGCGGCGAAATTAATTGAAAGGGCCCTTCCAGCTCCACCATGAAGCTCTCTCGGTTCTAATCTAAATTTCATTATGCCGAAAAGATGAAGTAAGTCCTATAGAATAAAATCAAATTGGCTCCGCTTTACTGATAACGCGCTGAAATAATATTTTTATGCCCAATAAAAAGTCACATCGATTCCAATCACAAAGTAATATTTTATTCGCGCCACACAGAACGCAGCCGCGACCGCCAATTTATTTTATCTTCCCAACGACGTCCCCTTCCACCCCGTAATAAAAATGCTGTCCCCTTTATTATATTGGGCCGAATAAATTCATCCGCGGGCAATTTTCCCTCATCCCTTCTACAGATAGGGAAATATTTCGACGCTACAAGAGCATTTTCAAACAAAACTTTACGGGACATCAAATTTAAACGAAATTTTTGGAAGATAATGTATTGAATCTTATTCTAATTAGAGGAACAAATCGATTTAAAAATTGGTTCAAAAACTTAAAATGTTCAGAAATTTAAAATAATACTTTTTGACCTTTTTTGATAAAAAATAATAATAATTAAATAAAGTATTGTCTTTTTCTTTTCCTACTTTGCAATCTCAATTTTTAATTTCAATCTTTATTACTTCGTTAATTATACAATCAATAAATTAAAAAAACCATAAAAAATAATTTTTAATTTTTTTCAATTTTATTTTGTGGAATTCCCGCTGTTTATGATTATCAAAGAAATATTTTAATACTGTATAAATTATATTTTTAAATGTAAAAATAATAGCTACAATCATCTCTTAATAATTATTTTCTCTCGTAAACTCTGCAAGAGCCCCAAATATATTTAGAAATGCTGATTATGATTAGTTATGTAAATGTCAAATGGACGATATTTTGTACTGCAAAATTTGAAAATATTTATATTAAAAGCAAAAACTTATTTTTATATAAAGATTGATCCAATTTTATGAAAAAATCTATTTATTCTGCACTTATTTCTATCAATTTGATTTCAAAATTAATTAATTTTTATTTGTAAATAAAATTATCGCTCTATAATCGCTATTAAAACTATTATTAATTTTATCAAAGAAATTTAAAATTTAAATGTTTTGTGAATTTGAATTGGCGTAAATTTTTTTATTTAATCGAAGTGTCCGATATTGAAACGGAGGTTAATCGTTTTTCATGAAAAGTTTGAGCGACAGCACACGTGGGGCGTTTTTCATTCATAATTGAATGAGTTATTTTTTGTGTCATTTCGCGTCCATTGCCACACACAGAGACTGCTCTTGCCGCCGTGATGAGTTTTATTTTTATTTTTTGTGAGAGCGAGCGCGCGTTTTGGGCGGAAAAGTGTCGAAGCGTGAAATTTGATCGTCACTTTGCAATTAGCTGGAAATAAAATATATCAAAAGTCTCGTCGGCGTATATAAGCTTTTCACACACAAACAGCGGAGATAAAATCTCCGCATGCAGAGAGAGATAATAAAAATTAAAAAGCGCTCGGCGTTAATTATACGAAGCAAAAAGAGCCATAGTGGAAAGTTGGGAAAAATAAATGAGCATATAGAAACAAATTGCTTTCGATGAAAATAAAAAAAAGCGCGAGCAATTAAAAGCAGCTGACGCGAAGTAAGAGTAATTACCCGAATGAATGTGCTTTTCTATTTTTTTTTTCAAAATGCTGAAAATTGGAAATCTGCGCGCGCCCGTCGTTTTATATTTTTATGGAGTGTCAAACACGCGCGCGCGCTCTTTTTATTCCTCGGTCGTAAAAGGCAATAAAACTACATAAAAAAGTGAAAAAAATCGCGTTAACAATAAAGATCAAATTTTTATAATGCCTTGGCTCGTTTGGACTCACAATCGAGAGTGGCCGCCGAGGAAAATTTATAATCAGTTTGGAGATTTAATGAGAAAGGGGTGCAATAAAAAAGGAAAGCCGCCAGAATGTAACAAGATTCAAATTAGCTAAAACGCGTGAGAATATGATAAAATTTTAGCAAAATATTTTTAAGTTAATTCAAATATTAAATTTTACATTTAATTTGAAAAATGAAATTTTTTTAATTTATTTTTAATTGTGATTTTCAATAAAGAAATTTTTATTACTTTACCTGTAAATCCTGTAATTTTAGCAAAAATTGAATAAAATTAATACGACGTTTAGGTATTTCCATACTTCATTGATATTGTCAAATATAAACTTTTTAACAGTGGTGCTGATTGTTATCTCAATACTGCCAAAAGTGGCTCCTATGTTTGCATAGGATTGATTAGAATATTCTAGTTTAAGGAGTTATTAATAGTTGAAAATA